GCTATGCCAGCCGCCACTCACCGCCTGAGCCACGAGCACTGCACAAAGCTGAGGAATAATCTAGCTGGGAAAATTAGCAGCAAGCTAGCCCATTCTCCAACAGAAAAGTGCAGTATTGAGCAATTGATTGACACAGTGACCAAAATCGAACTCCTGTTGCAAATATAAAAATGTAGTTAATTCACTAATAAGGCTCGTGTCGACGTGCCCGGACATGAATGCAATAGCAAGCTAGCTACAGTGCCTTCGGAAAGTATTCCGACCCCTTGACTTTTTCCACATTGTTACGTTACAGCCTTGTTCTAAGCTTGATAAAAATAAAAATAAAATTATCAGCAATCTACACACAATACCCCATAATGACAAAGCAAAAACGGGTGAATACATTTGCAAAAATGTCTATAAAATTTTAAACTATAATACCTTATTTACATAAGTATTCAGACCCTTTGCTATGGGACTATATTGAGCTCAGGTGCATCCTGTTTCCATTGATCATCCTTGAGATGTTTCTACAATTTGATTGGAATCCACCTGTGGTAAATTCAATTGATTGGACATGATTTGGAAAGGCACACGCCTGTCTATATAAGGTCCAACAGTTGACAGTGCACATCAGATCAAAAACCAAGCCATGATGTCGAAGGAATTGTCTGTAGAGCTCAGAGACAGGATTGTGTCGAGGCACAGATCTGGGGAAGGGTACCAAACAATTTCTGCAGCATTGAAGGTCCCCAAGAACACAGTGGAATTCATCATTCTTAAATGGAAGAAGTTTGGAACCACCAAGACTCTTCCTAGAGCTGGCCACCCGGCCAAACTGAGCAATCGGGGTAGAAAGGCCTTGGTCAGGGAAGTGACCAAGAACCCGATGGTAACTCTGACAGAGCTCTAGAGTTCCTCTGTGGAGATGGGAGAACCATCTAGAAGGACAACCATCTCTGCAGCACTCCACCAATTAGGCCTTTATGGTAGAGTGGCCAGACGGAAGCCACTCCTCAGTGAAAGGCACATGACAGCCCACTTGGAGTTTGCCAAAAGGCACCTAAACACTCGAACCATGAGAAACAAGATTATCTGGTCTGATGAAACCAAGATTGATTAATGGATCAGAGAGATCCTTGAGAGATCCTTGATGAAAACCTGCTCCAGAGTGCTCAGGAACTCAGACAGGGCTGAAGGTTCACCTTCCAACAAGACAATGACCCTAAGCACACAGCCAAGAAAATGCAGGAGTGGCTTCGGGACAAGTCTCTGAATGTCCTTGAGTGGCCCAGCCAGAGCCCGGACTTGAACCCAATGTAACAGCTCTGGAGAGACCTGAAAATAGCTGTGCAGCAACGCTCCCCATCCAACCTGACAGAGCTTGAGATGATCTGCAGAGAGGAATGGGAGAAACTCCCCAAATACAGGTGTGCCAAGCTTGTAGCGTCATACCCAAGAAGACTCGAGGCTGTAATTGCTGCCAAAGGTGCTTCAACAAAGCACTGTGTAAAGGGTCTGAATATTTATGCAAATTTGATATTAGCAAAAATTTCTAAAAACCTGTTTTTGCTTTGTGTGTAGATTGATGAGGGAAAAAAACAATTGAATCAATTTTAGAATAAGGCTGTAATATAACAAAATGTGGAAAAGTCAAGGGGGCTGAATACTTTCCGAATGCACTGTATGTGACTTGTTAGGAAAGATTACGATAACTAACCCTTTCATCTGTGATGTTAGCTAGCTAGCTATATTAGCTACTATGTTAGCTAGCTGGCTAGATATACATGGCGCTAAGATATCAGATAGGAGGTAATAGCCAACATAGCTAGCTAACGTTAGCTGGTTATCATTTTGAACATGCACCATTTTCGGCAACGAGCCATTCGACTTGCAGTGTAATGTTAACTATTCACTGGTGTGCTGATCAGACCAACTGCAATCTTAACCATAAATTGACAGTTGATAGTCGGGATTACATTATTGTTGTGATAGGGAAAGGTGTTTTTAAATGCCAAAATAAAGGTTGGCAATAGGTTTAGCTACCTAAGAATCTTCCTGCATGTTTAAGGACCAAGAAAGCTGTAGATCAGCGCATGTGTGCGTTCTCACTTCTCAAACTATGGACAGATTTGAGCCATTCAGACAGAACGTGCATCGTCGTTTCATATTTTTTCCTACCCTCGCTTCTCAGATATTATTATTTACATTGATGGCTTGGTAGCAAAAGTCATCGCCATTGAGCTAGTTGTCATAGCAGCAGTAAACTGCAGCAAGTGATGCGAGCGATGGAGAGAGATGTGAGGAGATGTGTAAGGGAGCAGAGTTACAGCCTCGCTCTATCCAATCGTAGCAGTAGGATCAAGTTAAAGCCCGCCCATTTCTTGACCGATAGCTGAACTAGCCAATTGAGTCGTTTCGTCCTGGCAGCCGAGTTGTTTATAGAGATGCGTCCTGACAGCAATTGTTTTTTAAATATATATCCAGATCACGGAATATGGTTTCATAAGCATCCGTGATCACAAATCATGACATTACGTTGAATGCATTTGCATTGAATACATGTGCTTTTATATTCTCAAACAGCAGTGCCTATATCAGGGTTCTTCAATTCCGGTCCTGGAGGGCCGAAACACCTCTGTTTTTCATCCTCTCCTTCTAATCAGGGGATAATTCAGACCTGGGACAATAGGTGAGTGCAATTAACTACCAGGTAGAAATAAAAAACAGAAGGTTTCGGCCCTCCAGGACCGGAATTGAAGAACCCTGGCCTATATGATGTCCTTCAACACAGGCGTGAAATGTTGGAGTGATGTTTCTATGCAAATGTTGTTGATCAGTAGGCTAATATAAGTCCCAAATGGAAGGCAAACAGATTGTCATCTGCAGCACCATAGACTCCACTGATCAGCCAAAACAAGCTCAATAACTCAATGCATGCACACACTCCTATTGAATATGCATTCACCTGTATTGTAGGCCAATGCCATATTACATTTACCCAGTTTATCATGAGATTTACCATTCAAATAAAATTATTACCATTATGTTGTTATGTAGTTAGATTGGCAAAAACAAAGTTCAATTTATTGTTAGATTTTAAAATTGACGCAGTTATGCATACATGGCTGTCTCTGGAAAATTGTATCCACATTTTCTAATTCAATTATATCGAATACTGGTCATTGGCCTCCTTGTCCCCAAAAAATTGGTATCAGCGTCACCCCCTAAAAAATACATATCTGTTGTTCTCTAATATAAATGGATTGACATGAGCCAAAATAATTTCAAACAGAATGTACCCAAATGTCTCTTACATTTAGCCTACACATTAGGCTACTATGTGGGGCTGCAGGAAGGCAGGCTAAACCTACAGCCACAGAACAAAAGGTCCTGACCCGAGATGGGCATCATGTTTTAGAAGCCCTTAAAAGGCAATGGGTGAAATAAAAAGAAAGAAAGCACTCGGGGAATAGGCTCAAAGTTAAACATATCTGTGGCGCTGTAAACCATGTTGGGCTAAATTCCCTAACGACTTCAAAACGGATCTGAGAACATTGCTTGTTTACCATATTAAAGTATCAAGGGTTAAAAAGACGGACGATACTGGAAGCTACCTACTACTGTTTTTCTACTACTGTGGAAATGTCTGTTTGACTAGAATCATTTAAGGATGCAGGGGTCACGACAACAAATTACATTGAGTTTGAACTTCCAGAGATCATTTGTTCACTCGATTGAGTAGAATGGGCTCTTTTCCATTTCAAATTGCCAACAATCTACTGGGCAGAAGATCAAAGTACAAAACAACATCTTTAATACAGGAATGAGTAACCAGGTCATGCTTATAACGTTTAAAAATGCCGTTTGTACAGTGATGGCCATTGGCTGGGCTAAATCTAAAATGCTGAGCTTCCAAGCTGCTTTGGGTTCAACAGAGAGCTGATGCAAAACATTTATAAAAAGAAACACATTCTGACATCACTTTAGTGTCCACGCTTGAACCTAGAGTCCCAATACCCTATACACAACTATAATGTCACATTATGTCCATGTAGATGAGATTTGAGAGGTAAAAGTATGCAACAAAGTGGCAATAGCCTAACTCAAAATGTTAGTTCATAACTTCAGTACACTAACAGTACATGTGCACTTTCATGCTTATGGTTCCCACATGCAAACTCTGTCACAAACCATGTATGTTTCCATCCACAGTTACGCGAGTAAAGTCATACCGTATTTTAAAAAAAACATCACGACAGCTGTGATGGAAACAGGTAGTTTCGCTACAATTTTATGAATGCAGACAGATTATGTGTTCATTCGACCTGGTGGGACCTTTGTGTCTTCAAATTAATTATACGACAAATGGTGGAAACTCATTTATGCGCAAATATTAATATAATAACCATCATATCGAAATAAACTTGAAGTCACGCGATGCTATGGTGTGTGGTTCTCCCACTATGACTTGAGAAACCATGCAGTTTACTAGGCTACAGATGAAATAAATTATGATGAAATTCACAGGGTGGTGAAAGTGCAGTGCTCTTGATGCTCCTTTCCAATAAATATCGAGGGCCTTACACTGGTGACATGATGATCGATGCTTGACTGCCGTTTGACAAATACAAATATTATCGCTCTTATCCATAATAATGTCATCATGTAGACTAACCTACCCACACTATCTGCGAGCTGTTAGCTAGTGATGGGTCATGCGCACAAGCATCGGCTCTGAGAGCCGGCTCTTTGTAGTGAATCAGAAGAGCCGGCTCGCATCGAGTGAGAGCCGGCTCCCAGTTTTTTGCCCATTCGCTGCTTAGGTTTCACTTTCACAGAGGTCTGTTATGATTGGCCAGCATGGCGACCAGCATGCGGCATTCACGTGAGAATTAAGGATGTGTAAACAGAGAGGGGGCGGGGCAGACACACCACTTGACTCCACTGCAAGTGAAGAGAGAGACAGAGCGGACTGAGGAGCGTGTGTGCGTCTTGCATTGTCGTGTCGTTTAACTATGAGTGACACTAGAAAGCGAAGCAGCATCTGGCTGCAGTTTAAAGATATTGGGAACAAGAAAGCAGAGTGCCTTCACTGCAAAACGAAGGTCACTATAAGAGCAGGTTCCACCACAAACCTGCATAGACATACAAGAACTGTCCATCCTACAGTGCAGTTAGAGGAGAGAGGGCAAGCCAGCTCACCATCTACTGATCCTGGTGTGTCTCATACCAGAACAACAGCTGCTGTAACGTCTACTGCCATCCCCATGCGTGCAAGTATAACCTCTCCTACTGCAACTCAAAGCAAAATAAGTCAGTTTTTACCTAAACTGATGACCCCAGCCAAACAGCACAGTATTGATGATGAGTTGGCTAAAATGGTAGCTTCTGATTTTCAACCCTTTTCCATTGTGGAGGACAAAGGAATGAAAAACTTTGTCAAAGCCCTAAATCCCACATACACTCTACCCAGTAGAAAAACACTTTCCCAAACAATGATCCCAAAACTATATGACACAGAACGTGCATTATGGCAAGAAAGGGTGACAAAAGCTCCATCAGTTTGCCTGACAACTGACTGCTGGACCTCCAGAACAACCTGCTCTTTCATGTCTGTCACTTGCCACTTTATTGAAGATTACAAGATGACATCTTGCCTTCTGGACTGCTTCGAGTTCACCGACAGACACACTGCAGAAAACTTGGCAGTGGAGCTACTAAGAGTGGCAAAAGAGTGGCAAGTAGAGGACAAAGTGGTGTGCTGTGTGAGTGATAATGCTGCAAACATCACCAAAGCCATAAAAGTTTTGAAGTGGACCCATCACCCATGTCTGGCGCATACACTAAACCTGGTGGTTAGAGATGCTCTGAAGGTGATCAAAACAACCGTGGATAAGGTGAAGGCTGTTGTGGAGTTTTTCCACAAAAGCACAGTAGCAGCACAGAAGCTAAAGTCCACACAGCGCCAAATGGGGATTCCTGAACTGAGGCCCAAACAAGAGTGTGCCACCAGGTGGAACTCAACATTTGATATGTTGAAACGAATGCTTGAAATAAAAGATGCCATCATCTCCACCCTGGCCCTCATCAACGCATCTATTGAGCCATTAAGCCAAGAGGAATGGGAGCTGGTGAAAGAGGTCTGCGCCGTCCTGCAACCATTCCAGGAGGTGACTGTGGAGATAAGTGCAGACAGGTACCTAGAACCATTGAAGCATTGTTTTCTCTACTACTATTCAGTCACTATTATACATTGCAAACACAACACATACAGTATAATGCATCACGTATAATATGCCACATACTTTTAAAAAACTAAATTCTAAAAGTTGCTGTTTTCTCTCCTTCAGCTATGTCACAGCCTCGAAAATGCTCCTGCTTTGCAAAGGTCTGCAGCTGGTGACAGCCGAGAACCAATGGACAGTAACTGTGCAGAAAGTGAAGGAATTAGTTGCAGCTCTTTGTTCAGCCATGGACCGCAAATTTCTGCGGATGGAGTACAACACTGTCCTTTCAGAAACTACCTTATTGGATCCAAGGTTTAAAAAACTTGCCTTCAGTGATCGTAGAGCTGTTGATGAAGCTCTTCAGAGGATTAGTGCAGCAGCAGCAGCAAAATGCACCCCCAGCAGCCAGCCAGCTCCACCATTACAGGGCCAAGTGGAGGAGGAGCAGCAAACCTCTGCTGTTTGGAGGCTTTTTGATGACAGAGCTACAGGAGATGCTTCAAGGAGAAATCCGACAGCTGATGCTATAATGGAGGTGAGGAGCTACCTTGAGGAGCCCCTCATCCAGAGAGCAGAAGACCCACTGAGCTGGTGGCAGGCCAAGGCCTCAGTCTTTCCACTCCTGGTGAAGGTGATGGAGGGGAGACTATGTATTGTTGCCACATCAGTTCCTTCTGAGAGAATCTTCTCCAAAACAGGGCAGATACTCACGGAGAGGCGAAATCGTATCAGGCCTATCAGCCCATCCAAGCTGAGGCATCTGATCTTCCTGAATGCCAACCTGCCCTGAGGACTAATGCTGTTTGCTGGAGTTTGGTTCTGGTTTTGATTCTGTTCTGTGGATTTGTTTGAAGTTTATTGTTAATTTGTGCAATAAAAAAGTTTAATTGAAATAAACAAATGTAAGAGTGGTTTTGTCACAGAATAAATGCACAGAATTAGGCATTATAAGGTCTCTCATAAAAACACTGAAAGCAAAAGGGTTTTCAACACATAAACCATGATTTTTTTTCAAAGTTAAGGTAAAATATAGGCTACAAAAGATCCTAAATAAAGAGCCGTTCGGGAGTCGAAAGAGCCGGCTCTTCTTTGGGAGCCGAGTCAAAAGAGCCGGCTCTCAGAAAAGAGCCGAACTTCCCATCATTACTGTTAGCTAGAGAGCACGTGCCAGAGTAGGCATATTTGCTATTCAACGCAACAGTTTGTGACAAAACTATCGGTAGAGTTGAAAATGTGATGGAAACACATTAAATACCTTGTGTGCACTACGTCATCACGCACTGATTTTTATCCGCTACAAGTCAGTTGTGTGGAAACACCACCAGTGGGAAAATGCGCATATTTTCTTTATGCAGATTTTTTTATATTCGCATTAAAATCTGTCACCAATGGATGGAAAACTAGCTAGACACAGATCCTGCCTTTCCCTCTGGGAAACATTTCTGTTGAGTGGGCAAATAGTTATCGGACACTTAAAGGAGCATGAGAGCATGACCTGCTTCTCCAGTCTTTCTGTAGTAACATTACCAACTGTTCTGCGGTAACTAGGCTAAGTTTCACAAAACCATAAAGATCAACTTTAACACTAAGATAATTGCTAGGCAATGGAAGAACGATGATTTAAATTTTTAAAAGTATGTTTATGTTTGAGAAACTCACCCCTGATCAGCAGCAGCCATGACAACTAAGCAGGAGGCAACAGGCAGTCAGCAATGACAAAGAACATACTTGGGAACCCGCAAAATCACTTGATCCACTAATGACGCTGAAAGGGCTTTGAACTTGAGTCTTGATTGAGCAAATGTTGTCACCCCATTCTGTTAGCCCAAATGTATTCCCCGACAGGCTGGGCAACATATTTCACACAGTCATAGCTCTTAACTATCCACATAGGCCTACATTGGTGGTAATGCAATATCAGTGCTTCAAAAATAAGGCTCTGGTAAAAGGACAAGATGTTCTATAAAATATATAATACAAAATATAATAAATAATAATATGCCATTTAGCAGACAATTTTATCTAAAGCGACTTACAGTCATGCGTGCATACATTTTTAGGTATGGGTGGTCCCGGGGATCGAACCCACTACCCTGGCGTAATAAGCGCCATGCTCTACCAATTGAGCTACATACGCTCATGTTGTTGTTTTTTTTAAACAAAGGACATCCTCTGATACGGTAGTCTACCTGTCATCAAAATGATATGGTAGCCTAACGTTACCTGGCGTCGGTGCACACTGTACCAGTATCTATGCTCCGATTCAAACTCCCATTCACCAGCTCCGCAAGCATTGTAATGTCAAAATACATTATCTTCATTTACTCACGTTACTGCGGTATGTACTTCCAAAAAAGGTTTAAATAAAAATATACAAACAGAGGAAAAAATGCCTCTTCGGCACCTCCAATGTATTGAGCTGCTGCAGACTTCCGACCTGTTTGTTGCAGTAATGAGTGATTGGAGGTGCCGAATATGCATTCTTTCGGTTGCTTATGTAGATTTTTATTTAGATTTTTTTGGGAAGTACATACCCGCCGTAACAGGAGTTTGTTGCACAGCGAAACTCCATATTGGGTGATCAACGAACATATTTTGACATTATAAAGCTTGCAGAGCTGGTGAATGAGAGTTTGAATCTGAGCTCTCTTGGGGTACAGATACTGGTTCTGGTGCACACCTACCCCCATTCATTGACGATAACTACTTTATCGCCTATTGACGATAGTATCTTCTTTTGTTAGGAGCACCCACGCTTAGTCTAAACATTAACATGCATCGCTTGCAGTACTGTTTTGGAAAAATTCGGAATGTATCTTTCATATCAGCTACAACAACAAAAAACTGGGGGGAAAAAATGTTAAATTCTGCACACGTTTATAGGGTAGTGTTCCCACACGGCCATATCCATGTTACAGCCCTTGTTTACGCTGCCACCTGTGCCATCAAGCCTGCTCCAAACACCTGTGTGTAAACTAACTGGGGAGGAAGTGTAGTTCAACTGGAGGCACAGTGTATGGTTATGTACAAAACTGCAACAGTAAGTTTTTTTTTTTGGGAAAGATTATTTCTGTCTTATATGAAAAATAAGGGGCATATCAGCATGTTTCGAAAACAATTTCGAAAGCGACTGATGTTTCTAAATGTTAAAAACACAGCATCAATTGTAGTTTACACGGAGCCAAATGTGGGCAAATGTAACCACTGAAAACCCTGACGTTACATACAGAAGGGTTTTCGAGAGCTAGTGCACACCTGACTCGACTTGAACTTTGAAGCCTAGCCTATTAGCTACTAGTTCTCTGCCACAAATACAATTCGTACTTTGATGTGTACACGTGTCAAGTAGGATTTTACAAATTGAAAATAATAATTGAGTTGATTAACTAGTTAGTTAGAGATAATTCAGTGAATAAACTTGTCAACAGTGACTAACTTTGGCTACAGTGACTAACTTCAAATAGTCAGACAGAGAGCTAGAGAAGTGAATTTCAACGTCGAATCCACGTTGGTACGCGACGGTGGCATAACTACGTGTCATTCGTCTTGGAATAATGTGCTCACGAGGCGTCAAATGTTTATATTCGTTGATCAGAACTTTGCACAACACTGATTCAATAATTTAAAGCACTCCGTGACCTGCCAACAAAGTTAAACACAACAAGGAAGAAACGCAGGATTTTGAGTGCGCGCAAAGCCCGAATACCTGACCGAATTTGGCCAAATATAGTTATCGGTATCTTAACTTTTACATACATATATGATCGGTAAATACATATAATTTCTCACCTTTTAGCGGTACGATGTTTCTAGCCATTTTCCTGCAGCTACAAATTTTATCCACTCGCTCGCGCAGACACAACGTCAGTTCCTGTTGAGGTAGTTTGGTTTGGTTTGATCACGTTTCACCAAAATCATAGACAATTGGGAAACAGCGTCACCATGTGGCACAAAACAGAAAGATGAAAAGGAAAAATAATCATCCTGGAAAATCTTTGGACATTTTACATTTAAGTCATTTAGCAGACGCTCTTATGTTGATGTAATCTAAATCTCTGATTATACTTTTTGTATTTATGCGTGATGGGCTATTTGGTGTCACTGTCCTCAGGTTCACAAACAATATGAATAGTTAGTCATTTTATTTTGTATGATCCATTTGTAGTCAGATTTTTTTATTGAGCTTGAGAGTTGACTACTATGAAAAAATAACAAACAGAACAGTTTATTCAAATAACATAACTAGCAATAGCTGTATCACCTTATCCTCAATAAAATCTCTCCGTTTCTGTCTCTCTCTCTCTCTCACACATATATACACACACATACGCGACATGACAAATTCTAAGGCATTTACATTTTAAGGGCTGTGCATTGTATTCAAATGTCTACTGTAATTCTTGACTGACAGAATGACTCAAATACAGGCAACAGCTGAGACTAGAATGAGTTGGACCCATTGGGTTGGACCACGTCCCAATTCAGCATCTCTTCGGCTCTGATGTAACTCCACCTTCTTGGTTTACACAGGTTTGTAAACGCCACGTACATCTTGCTTCACAGCACCTTGACCAACAATTTTGAGGAAACAATTTGACTGACTACTTCTGCCCAACTGGCTGCTAACGCGACTATTTCACAGAGCAAAGAGAACATTTTTACCCAATGGTGATGGTTGGGGGCGGGGCGTTACCATGGCAATTAGGGGTTTGGTTGGTCTTACTAGGAAGAGGCTGACCGGTGTAAAGTGCATGACAGCTGTAAACAGACTCCAGTCTTTTCGAATTGTCTCCAGGGTTGGATGAATTATAGCAAACGTTTCAAAAGCGCAACGTGACAGAAAATAACTGAAAAGGGTCTACTGTCAAAGTAAGTTTCTGTTTCTCTTAGCTTTTCAATTAAATGTATTATCATGCTATTATGGACAAATGACAGTTCTGTAGTTGCAGATCGCCAGTTGGAGGGAGATGCGACTTGCATCATGCATGCTTATCATCTATCCACAGCATACTTGTTCAACACTTCAGTACCTAGCTAGCTAGTTATTATGCTACTACCTGTATATCGTACACAGAGCTCATTAGAATATTATCAATAAATACCCACAATATGAACCTGGTCAAATTAGATGGCTAGATAACAGATGTAACAGAACATGTGCAAAACTATTGGCTGCTGCTGATGTGGTCATGATGTTACATCTAAACAGGTTGACAAGGTTCTCTTTCAGGTGTCAAAGCCCAAGAGAACTGGGCTATGGTCCTCTGTAGCTCAGCTGGTAGAGCACGGCGCTTGTAACGCCAGTTAGTAGGTTCGATCCCCGGGACCACCCATACACAAAAATGTATGCACGCATGACTGTAAGTCGCTTTGGATAAAAGCGTCTGCTTAGTGGCATATTATGTTCAGTTGCTAAACGTTGTCGAACACTGCAGATAGAAATGCAATGAATAGAGCCAACATGATTTCTTGTTCTACATGTCAGAGAGGCACTTTTGTTCTGGCAAACATATCTGAACGTTCCAAAATGTGTCCTACTGAACACGTAGGTTGAAGATCTCTTCAACCTAGCTGAACACCCCTTTTATCCCACAGAGACATGAGTGGCACAGTCGCCACGGTTTTCTTCTGGTGGAGGTTACTGTGGAGATTAAGATTAAACTTCTTGAATTTGTCAACACATTGGTCAATAGGGAGGAGTGGGTGTGGGTTCACTGATTCCAAAAGCATCGCCCACATTGAACTTACCATAAGAGGGTGATGTTTACTGAAGAACAGTTCAGTATAACCCTGTTTGTTCATATTACCTATGAAACATTTAGTAATTTAATATGCCCTATACTTAAAGAGCTCCATTGGAAACATACAATATCAATGACTTACCTATAGGCTCAAATAGATGCTGTACATCTTGCCATTCTGTCTGTGAAATAGTAGATTAGTGTCATTTCATTTAACCAACTGTGAAGTATGAAATGTGTCTATTTGACCATTAGCCATTTCTCATAGTTTCTCTTGAATCAGCTGTTGATGTAGTCAATGATTAACCTTAGCTTGGTGATGTTCTCCTGTGTACACAGATGTTATGGAGTAAAGCATTCTGCCGCTACGCTGTGCTCCCCCTGAGCCTGTGGTTCTGTGTGGAAGCAGTGCCCATCGCTGTGGACAAGACTAAAGTGGAAACCCCAGAGGAGAAACTGGAGGCACCACAGAGTGTGGTGAGTGGAGTGTATGTGTGTGTTGCAGTACCTATGTGCGATTTGATGCATACGATATAATGACTGTGTAGGAAGCAGATGTGATGTTTAATACTTGTCAAACAGTATTTTGAGACTAGCTAGGTTTCCATCCAATTGGTGTCAGATTTTCATGTGAATATTCAAAAATACGTATAAAAACAATATGCGCATTTTCCCAACAGAGATGTGTTTCCATCAAATTGACTTGTTGCAGATAGTCTGTGTGTGATGACGTAGTGCACATAAAAATAATTATTGTGGTTAAATTACCATGTACTGAATTAAAACTACAAGTTAAATGGGTTTCCATTGCATTTTCAACTCTACTGATGGTCTTGTCACAAAAAAATGTTGCGTTATATAGCGAATGTGCCCACTCTGGTATTGGCTCCTGCGCTCTAGCCAACAGCTCGCAAATATAGTGTGAATTTAGCCTACATGATGAGATTATTATGGATAAAAGAGCGAGACTAATTATTGGAAAGGAGCATCAAGTTTATCACCTTGCACTTTCAACCCCCTGTGCAGTTCATCATAACTTATTACATTTACATTTACATTTTAGTCATTTAGCAGACGCTCTTATCCAGAGCGACTTACAGTTAGTGAATACATTTATATATATATTTTTTATACTGGCCCCCCGTGGGAATCGAACCCACAACCCTGGCGTTGCAAACGCCATGCTCTATCAACTGAGCTACATCCCTGCCGGCCATTCCCTCCCCAACCCTGGACGACGCTGGGCCAATTGTGCGCCGCCCATGAGTCTCCCGGTCGCGGCCGGCTGCGACAGAGCCTGGATTACAGTCGTAGTGGGAGGACCACACACCATATAATTGCGTGACTCCAAGTTTACTTTGATATGATGGTTATTATATCAATATTTGCGCATAAAGGCGTTTCCACTGCCATTTCTCGCATAATTAATTTTACCAACAAAAAAAAGATCCCACCATGTCGATCGAACAAATTATCTGTCGGCATTTATAAAATTGTACTGACACTACCTGTTTCCATCACAGCTGTCGTGATTTGTTTTTATACGTTATTTCTTGCATAAAATCTGTGGATGGAAACGTGGTTTCAGACTAAGCTAGGCTATTTAGGACACTGTAAAGTCCATGGAGAACCTCCTCCCATTTGCCCACTGCACTGAGGCTATTTGTACGCATAAGAAAAAGTAAAGGCTCTTGGAGCCTGAGCCAGAAAGAGGAAAGGCTCTTAAAGAAATACATCACTCCGGGAAATGGAAGGAGGTCTAGACATACCATAGGCCACATGTGAATCCAATGTAAACCTCTCCCCTCTGTCAATTTACATACTGCAATGTGGATTTGGACTTTGGGTTTTTGTTTCAGGACACCGGGCTTCACTATGACCGCTACCTCAGGGAAGTCATTGATTTCCTGGAGAAGGACCAGCATTTCAGAGAGAAGCTCCACAATACAGACATGGAGGACATTAAGGTACCCCAGCAGCTATAGCATTTGCAGGGAGGGGCTATTTGTACTCGTCCAATAGGAAATGCTCATTTTATTTTCCCGTTGCAAAACATTTTCAGCTGTTGTTCGTTCCGTGCCCTAATGAACACAATCCAGCTAGCCTGGTTGGTTTCCTTTGATTGTTATTGGCCCTCGAAAATCTCTGGCTGCTTTTGTTTCTGAGCAGCAAGGCAAGCTGGCCAAAGAGCTGGACTTTGTCGGCCATCACGTGAGGACCAAACTGGACGAGCTGAAGAGGCAGGAGGTGAACAGGCTACGGAAGCTCATCAAAGCCAAACAAGACGTTGAGGGAAGGCATGGTACGCTGGTCTATCTGTTATTCAAATATGTCATTTCCTGTCTAACTGGCCGTCAACTTATGAGCAGGAATGTTTGTCCACTTGACAGGACATGATGTAATGCACCACCAACATTCTACGCTTGATATAGTCTGTCACATAGGAAAGTGGAAGTGCCTTGAGGCTATTGTGCAAGTAAATAGTAAAATGTTGTGAAATGTCTATATTGACACATTTGGGAAGAGGGATTGAGGTTCTACTACAAGAGGGATCGAGGTTCTACTACAAGCGGGGTTGAGGTTCTACTACAAGCATGGTCTTGCACTCAAACAAGTCTGTGCTTACATTGGAACTGCCAGAAATACTTAGCTGTGGTCACTGCCAAAGCTAACGTGCAGTCGAGAGTCGGTCATCAAAAAACTCAAATCTTAGCAATGTTTTTGCATTGCACTACCAATGTCCACAATGTCAATAACTGCTTGGTATTATCAGTCAAAATGGTGTGTCTAGTTCATTATTGTTAAGAGGGGATTTTAATATACAACGTTTCAGACTAAAGGTCACTATCATTTATTACAAACATACAGTATAATTACAATGATTGAATTGTGGATAAACGTCAGCTGTAACTGCACAATTACCTCATCATATACAGCCTCCATTTTGTCAGCAGTTGTCAGCAAGGGACTTGTAACCACTTAAATCGTAAAGTATTAGTTTCCCTCCTAATCAGATCCTTCTCTCCTCTTTCCCCACAGAAATGAACCACAAGGCGCTGCTCAAGCAGTTTGAGTACATGAACCACATGAACCCACACACCTTCGAAGTGGATGACCTGGATAAGCTTATTAAATCGGTAAGGATGTTATCCATACACACTACACCAGGGATCATCAACTAGATTCAGCCACGGGCCCAAAAAAAGTATTGAGCGGCTGGTCGAGGTGCCGGAACATAATTACATATAATTTGTAGACTGCAAATTGACCGCAAGAAGCCCAAACAGATATAATACAGTGGGGAAGAAAAGTATTTAGTCAGCCACCAATTGTGCAAGTTCTCCCACTTAAAAAGATGAGAGAGGCCTGTAATTTTCATCATAGGTACACATCAACTATGACAGACAAATTGAGAAGAAAAAAAATCCAGAAAATCACATTGTAGGATTTTTAATGAATTTATTTGCAAATTATGGTGGAAAATAAGTATTTGGTCACCTACAAACAAGCAAGATTTCTGGCTCTCACAGACCTGTAACTTCTTCTTTAAGAGGCTCCTCTGTCCTCCACTCGTTACCTGTATTAATGGCACCTGTTTGAACTTGTTATCAGTATAAAAGACACCTGTCCACAACCTCAAACAGTCACACTCCAAACTCCACTATGGCCAAGACCAAAGAGCTGTCAAAGGACACCAGAAACAAAATTGTATACCTGCACCAGGCTGGGAAGACTGAATCTGAAATAGGTAAGCAGCTTGGTTCGAAGAAATCAACTGTGGGAGCAATTATTAGGAAATGGAAGACATACAAGACCACTGATAATCTCCCTCGATCTGGGGCTCCACGCAAGATCTCACCCCGTGGGGTCAAAATGATCACAAGAACGGTGAGCAAAAATCCCAGAACCACACAGGGGGACCTAGTGAATGACCTGCAGAGAGCTGGGACCAAAGTAACCAAAGCCTACCATCAGTAACACACTATGCCGCCAGGGACTCAAATCCTGCAGTGCCAGACGTGTCCCCCTGCTTAAGCCAGTACATCTCCAGGCCCGTCTGAAGTTTGCTAGAGTGCATTTGGATGATCCAGAAGAGGATTGGGAGAATGTCATATGATCAGATGAAACCAAAATAGAACTTTTTGGTAAAAACTCAACTCGTCGTGTTTGGAGGACGAAGAATGCTGAGTTGCATCCAAAGAACACCATACCTAATGTGAAGCATGTGGGTGGAAACATCATGCTTTGGGGCTGTTTTTCTGCAAAGGGACCAGGACGACTGATCCATGTAAAGGAAAGAATGAATGGGGCCATGTATCGTGAGATTTTGAGTGAAAACCTCCTTCCATCAGCAAGGGCATTGAAGATGAAACGTGGCTGGGTCTTTCAGCATGACAATGATCCCAAACACACCGCCCGGGCAACGAAGGAGTGGCTTCGTAAGAAGCATTTCAAGGTCCTGGAGTGGCCTAGCCAGTCTCCAGATCTCAACCCCATAGAAAATATTTGGAGGGAGTTGAAAGTCTGTGTTGCCCAGCGACAGCCCCAAAACATCACTGCTCTAGAGGAGATCTGCATGGAGGAATGGGCCAAAATACCAGCAACAGTGTGTGAAAACCTTGTGTAGACTTACAGAAAACGTTTGACCTGTGTCATTGCCAACAAAGGGTATATAACAAAGTATTGAGAAACTTTTGTTATTGACCAAATACTTATTTTCCACCATAATTTGCAAATAAATTCATTAAAAATCCTACAATGTGATTTTCTGGATTCTTTTTTCTCATTCTGTCTGTCATAGTTGACGTGTACCTATGATGAAAATTACAGGCCTCTCTCATCTTTTTAAGTGGGAGAACTTGCACAATTGGTGACTGACTAAATACTTTTTTTCTCCACTGTATTTGACTAAAACATAATAATTTCAAACCTTGCTTACATTTGTATATGATCATGTCTCTCTATTATGTGTGGGAATACTTGGGAACAGAATTCCCAAATGAAAATCCCTTGGAGCTGATTTCGCCAGTTGGGAAACCCTTCACTACACCATGATACAATGATTAAAATGGTTCTTAAAACCACTGTGCTCAGAACTTGTGGTGCATGGGCCAAGGTCTATACTGAAAAATACACACTGACAATGGCCTTACAACCGAAATGTTTGCGCTGCACTTGTTGCCTCTTGAATGAATAAACAACTCTCTGAACGAGGACATCCAACTCTCTGAACGAGGACATCCAACTCTCTGAACGAGGACATCCAACTCTCTGAACGAGGACATCCAACACTCTGAACGAGGACATCCAACTCTCTGAACGAGGACATCCAACTCTCTGAACGAGGACATCCAACTCTCTGAACGAGGACATCCAACTCTCTGAACGAGGACATCCAACTCTCTGAACGAGGACATCCTTTTGGAGCCAACAGCCCAAAGGGTTTATAGCCTTAAAGCTAACTTGCTGTGTTTGAATAATAGCAGATCTATTGGAAAGTTTGCCCTAACCATGCACATCACGTACATGTGCTCCGTCTGGTGAAAAAACTTTTAGAGGGCGATAATTTGCACTTAAAACTAATCATCAAGAACATGTCACGTCTTTCTCACTCTCTTCTCTAATGGTCTCGTTCCCTAGTTGTTAGTGGTCTCTGACACAGAACAGTGGGCTTATATAGTATTCATTTCAATTCCAGATTGTAATGGGAATTTCCAGGTGAACATAAAGGAGAGCAGTCGTTAATGAAGTCAATCAAAAGGAATCCAGTTGAATACAAGAATTCAGGGAGAATGCCTCCAGAACAGAAGCATAGGGAATGTCTAACGGTCCTTCTCTGAGAAGGACCCTGTATTAATCAGACAGTGCCAGATGTTCTGTGAACATCAGCCCGAGAGGCTTGTACGAAGTCACAGCATCAGCGACTACAGAATCACGCCGCATCACAGAGACATTTTCAGTGTACCTTCCGCAGCTCTGGCATAAATCACTATCAAACATTCAACACTGACAGACATTTGATACTGGCAGTTCAAACAGGTCAAAGGTAAGAACATCCATACTTAGTTACAACAGATAATTGTAGACTCACAAGTGAAAACGACCTAATTAAATATGGTATTTAAACGTACATGTTTAAGTCCTGTTTCCCTCCCCAAGGGAATGTATCTGTATGCGTCTCCCCGCATATAAAATCATGTTTATTACACAGGAGGCTGCGGAGGGGAGGACGGCTCTTAATAATGTCTGGAATGGAGTAAATGGAATGCTATCAAACACATGGAAACCATGGAAACCATGTGCTTAATGAGTTCAATACCATTCCATTTATTCCGTTCCAGCCATTACTATGAGCCTGTCCTCCCCAATTAAGGTGCCACCGGCCGCCTGTGGTTTATTACATATCGATCCAGATCCCAGTAAATCAAATACAGGAAAATAATTAATCAAATAATTTCCCATTACACAGATCTACCAAAATGTTCACTTACCTGGTAAAATTAGGGTTTCTATAGAAAGAATAAGAATCTCATGCTCTTTTTTTCCTGGTTTATATATAGGCTACCAGTGACCTGGAGAACTACGACAAGAAGCGCCACGAGGAGTTTAAGAGGTACGAGATGATGAAGGAGCACGAGAGAAAGGAGCACCTGAAGAACCTCGACGAGGAGCATCGCAAAGACGAGGAGCAGCACTATGAAGAGCTGAGGAAGAAACACGCAGACCATCCCAAAATCAACCACCCTGTGAGACATTACCTTGATAATGTAACTAAACCCAAAATCAACCACCCTGTGAGACATTACCTTTATAATGTAACTAAACCCAAAATCAACCACCCTGTGAGACATTACCTTGATACTGTAACTAAACCCAAAATCAACCACCCTGTGAGACATTACCTTGATAATGTAACTAAACCCAAAATCAACCACCCTGTGAGACATTACCTTGATAATGTAACTAAACCCAAAATCAACCACCCTGTGAGACATTACCTTGATACTGTAACTAAACCCAAAATCAACCACCCTGTGAGACATTACCTTGATAATGTAACTAAACCCAAAATCAACCACCCTGTGAGACATTACCTTGATAATGTAACTAAACCCAAAATCAACCACCCTGTGAGACATTACCTTGATAATGTAACTAAACCCAAAATCAACCACCCTGTGAGACATTACCTTGATAATGTAACTAAACCCAAAATCAACCACCCTGTGAGACATTACCTTGATAATGTAACTAAACCCAAAATCAACCACCCTGTGAGACATTACCTTGATAATGTAACTAAACCCAAAATCAACCACCCTGTGAGACATTTACCGTGATAATCAACCCCCTAAAGACATTTCAGTGACATTAAACCCCAAATTACCTGAACCCCAAATTCACTAGCCTGGTATACCTATACAGCACAAACAGGCTCTTGGAGCCTGTATACCTTCACAGCACAAACAGATCTGGGACCAGGCTACAAAAAAAATCACCTGCTAGGAATTTACAATGATATTAATCTAACATTAACAAAGACTATGTTACTGTATATACAGTATAAACTGTTCTACTGAAGTCTTTAAACTGAAGCGTGTGTGTGCATGTGTGTGTGTGTGTGTGCATGTGTGTGTGTGTGTGTGTGTGTGTGTGTGTGTGTGTGTGTGTGTGTGTGTGTGTGTGTGTGTGTGTGTGTGTGTGTGTGTGTGTGTGTGTGTGTGTGTGTGTGTGTGTGTATAGGGCAGTCAGGACCAGCTGAAAGAGGTCTGGAAGGAGTCAGACGGTTTGGACCCAAATGAGTTTGACCCCAAGACCTTCTTCAAACTCCACGGTAAGTTCACACCAGAAGCCAGTCACAGGTTGAAAACACTGAACAAAAGTATAATACAATAATCTTGTCTCAAATTACACACCAACCACAACGAAGCCTATTGAGAAATGATCAAATACAATACTTGATGTCTTGCAGACACCAACGGAGACGCCTACATTGATGAGCAGGAGCTTGAAGCCCTGTTCACTAAAGAGGTGTGTGTGTGTGTGTGTGTGTGTGTGTGTGTGTTTTGTAGCTGGAGTAGGCCCAGTGTTGAAGTATGTGTTTGTGTGTGTGTGTTTTGTAGCTGGAGAAGATGTACAGCTCCAATCTAGATGAGGATGACATGACAGAGATGGAGGAGGAGAGACTGCGCATGAGGGAACACGTCATGAATGAGGTGAGCTGGCACGAGGGGTGGGGTATGATGGGGTCACTGAGTCATACCGTACACGCCACACACACACACATCCAACTGTTTTCAGGACTTTGCCCCACTGCTTCTTCAGTCAACCTACTTGCTGACATTGCCTTCCTTTCATCTGTACTCAGGTAGACACCAACAAGGACAGACTGGTCTCCCTGGAGGAGTTCCTGATGTCCACAAACAAGAAAGAGTTCTTAGAGCCAGACAGCTGGGAGGTAAGAGACAGGCTGCCACCACCTGCTGCAGCCTGAGGTGGTCAAGAGTACAGAAATGGTGTTGATCCTAACTCTAAGAGGCTATGCAATAATGGAGCTTCTACCCTCTCATCTCATCTTCTCTCCTCCTCCTCAGACTCTGGAGCAGGCTCCCGCGTACACAGAAGAGGAGATTAAGTTGTTTGAGGAGCAGCTGGCCCAGGAGGAGAGCAACCTCAACCAGAAGAACACAGATCTACAGAAACAGAAGGAGGAGCTGGAGAGGCAGCAGGATAAGCTCAATGCCCAGAAAGCTGAGCTGCAGCAGGTAACCTAATACAGTAGCACATAGCAATGTTAGCATCTACAAAATGTTAGCATAAACAGCTAACAACTCATAAACAGCTAACGTACCCATTTGACACAAAATGCATTTGCAGCCCCTTAGCAGAGGAGCTTTGACACAGTGGAATCCAGCACCTTCAGTATTAGAGGGGTAACCAACTTCATAAATACGTGACTTGTAATTTGACTGTTTATTGTGTGACTTTGCCTCACCCTCAACAAAAGAGAGCACCGTTTCATCTACAGTTTGAAATTGGAAAAACTTTTGAACTGGGTCATCACTCTCCCATGTTGGTGGGATAACATCTTCTTCTTCTCTTGTCTGTCTTCTCCTCAGGCCGTGGAACACATGCAGATAATAAAATCGGAAAAAGTAAACGCCACTGTTGAGGTTAAAGGTTAGTTCAAGTTACCTTCAGTTATAACATCCTTTTCCATAGACTAGTATTACCATCATTTAATAATAACTAATGGTAGAATCCTAACTTACACTTAAGTAGTCATGCATTGATGTCAATGGGAGACTAAGTGAACATTAGACTGAAGAGGAAGTTAGGATTTGTCCCCATCTGTTTCAAACACTGTGGTGATGTGTTAACTTGTCTTTAGATGGAGGAGCTACAGTAGCAGTGCCCCCTGGAGGTCAAGCATTGCCAGTACTACCAGGAGACAGCCAACCTCTACCCCCTGGTCACCAGCAAGACTTACCTGCACACTCTTAGCAGGCCCGGCAGCTTTTTCTGTGTGTGGATCTGTGTGTGTTTGCGTGTGCGTGTGTTTACGTGTGCATATGTGTTTTTGTGTGTCTATAAATCTTGCAATTAATCCAGTTTGAGTTTGTTTTAATGTGTTGTCGGAGCTCCGGATTTCCCACAACACACCCGAATGCACACATACAGTCCAACAATTTCCGGAGACTAGCTAAACCAATCAGAATGTAACCTTTGATTTTGATCCACTTCTAGTAGTGGCATTCCGTAGCAGGCAGGAGCAGCCATCACAACCGACAAGACTTGAAAGAATCTCTGAACCAGGCATTCTGTGGACAATCCACTCTTTGTTATTAGTTCATTATAACCTCCTTGACAACCAGTGCACAGTTCTAGAGGGAAGTGCTTTGGGAGAAGTGGGAAGAGTTTTTGTTCCTGAATATTAGCGGAATGTGTCCAGTATTTAGTTTTCTACCTAGTTAGGTAGGCTAGGTAGGCTACCCAGTGGCATTGATTATGTGGAGAAACATGTTTAATATACAAAAAACATTTGGTTAAATCGTTTACAGAGGTGGGAAAATGAAGGTCAAATTAATGTCTATTTCGATACGCTTTAAATAGTCTTGCTGATTCATTCCTGACATTAATAATTGCCCATACACAGATACAAACTCATATTGGCTTCACATCAATGACAATGAAGGCATAAATAGTTATTAGTATTACATTGGTTTTAATTGGACTTTGTTAATCAAGAAACTATTATGGTACTGTAATTCAATGTTGGCCACCTCTTTTTAACCTGCCATAAACTGCCATTCTTCCTGGTTTAAAGTGGACTATGAACGTTGTTAATTGTCCCATTGTGGTTGATACTGACAATAGTGGTATTGGTATTTCATTTATCTTAGTGGTGACTGTCTGTTTACCATGGATATTCTTCTATACTTAATACCATGGATGTTCTACAATACTTAATACCATGGATATCATTCTAAACTTAATACCATGGATATTCTTCTATACTTAATACCATGGATGTTCTACAATACTTAATACCATGGATATCATTCTAAACTTAATACCATGGATATTCTTCTATACTTAATACCATGGATATTATTCTAAACTTAATACCATGGATATTCTTCTATACTTAATACCATGGATATTATTCTAAACTTAATACCATGGATATTCTTCTATACTTAATACCATGGATATTATTCTAAACTTAATACCATGGATATTCTTCTATACCTAATACCATGGATATTCTTCTGTACTTAATACCATGGATATTCTTCTATACTTAATACCATGGATATTCTTCTGTACTATATCCCTGTGAGGGTGGAATCATGGTCTTAATCACCTGGTTGCATGTCTGACTACAGTAGCTTCTGTCCAACAGGTCTGGCCATTCTCTGGTCCACCCAATCCTTTACAGACTGAAACCAACAGGTCTGGCCATTCTCTGGTCCACCCAATCCTTTACAGACTGAAACCAACAGGTCTGGCCATTCTCTGGTCCACCCAATCCTTTACAGACTGAAACCAACAGGTCTGGCCATTCTCTGGTCCACCCAATCCTTTACAGACTGAAACCAACAGGTCTGGCCATTCTCTGGTCCACCCAATCCTTTACAGACTGAAACCAACAGGTCTGGCCATTCTCTGGTCCACCCAATCCTTTACAGACTGAAACCAACAGGTCTGGCCATTCTCTGGTCCACCCAATCCTTTACAGACTGAAACCAACAGGTCTGGCCATTCTCTGGTCCATCCAATCCTTTACAGACTGAAACCAACAGGTCTGGCCATTCTCTGGTCCACCCAATCCTTTACAGACTGAAACCAACAGGTCTGGCCATTCTCTGGTCCATCCAATCCTTTACAGACTGAAACCAACAGGTCTGGCCATTCTCTGGTCCACCCAATCCTTTACAGACTGAAACCAACAGGTCTGGCCATTCTCTGGTCCACCCAATCCTTTACAGACTGAAACCAACAGGTCTGGCCATTCTCTGGTCCATCCAATCCTTTACAGACTGAAACCAACAGGTCTGGCCATTCTCTGGTCCACCCAATCCTTTACAGACTGAAACCAACAGGTCTGGCCATTCTCTGGTCCACCCAATCCTTTACAGACTGAAACCAACAAGTCTGGCCATTCTCTGGGCCACCCAATCCTTTACAGACTGAAACCAACAGTTCTGGCCATTCTCTGGTCCACCCAATCCTTTACAGACTGAAACCAACAGAATACCCATCATTCCACCCAGAGCCATACTGTATATAGATGTGTCCCAGAGCCATATAAAGAGATGTATCTGTTATGCCGGTTAGGCAGCCTTAGTTGTGGAGCACAGCAGTGTCTTCTCTTTGAGTCAGGAACCAAACCACCATTTCTAATTTAGCGTGGTCTTCATCAGGGTTGGGCAAAATACGGCCTGTAGGACGGATCCGATTAAATGTGGCCTGCAGTGGATTTCCTAAAAAATATAAAAAATACCACACTACACTTGAACGTTGAAAACCAGATAGAAAGTCATATGTAGAAATTATTATGGACCTATGTGTTTGGAAATAACTGCCAATTTTCTGGCCCGCAAACCGGTCCAAAAAGAATCTGTGCGGCCCTCCATAGATTTTCTAAATCCTGATGTGGCCCTTGAGTCTAAATGATTGATATTGCATTCAGTGTCTGTATCAAGTTTTACAAACTATAATTCTAAATGTATTAAAGTTTCATACATTCAACTTCTCAGATTTCAGATTCAGTTTTCAAATTCAGTTATCTAAATTCAGATTCAAAAGCAGAGATAACATCCTGGTACTTTGCCAGCCAGGTAAGGTAGAGGAGAACAGACAGAATAAAATGCTATCTGTGGTAAACAGAACCAATGTGGCATTTGGCTCTAGCTATTATGACCCCAATCCTGAAAGTTTAGACTCTCTGGAACATGGATCAGTCTTCTGTTCCCCTCACAGGCCGCACTGAAATTGCTACATACAGGTTTTCCTGTTGTATTCTTAATCACATCTGTCCCAACTGCTTACTCAAGAAATCCATATGGCTGTACTTCAAAGGAAGACATTTACAGCTTGGTTTTGTTTGTATCATTGTGTTTAAACTGATGTAAAGCAAAAACAGGTATAAATACTTTTTATTGTCATCGTTTTGGCTCCAGGTTTTCACAAGACAAGTCTCAATGCAACAGGCTAGTAGTGTACATAGCCCAATATTTACTATTAACATGGGAAATGCTCACTTCCTCCCATAAGAGTAATTGAAGCTTTTGATGAGTCAGGCCACTGTCTTCACCAGGGGATATATTACACAGGTGCAGTAGAAGGTTAGGAGGTGGTTGACATGACTGTCATAGTTATACAGCTCCACCTACTGCTTATCTGAAAAGCTACTTTGGTCTCTTCTAACTTCAACCAAACTAATTGTGGAAACAACTCAGACCTTGCTCAACTTACAGTGCCTTCAGAAAGTATTCACACCCGTTGACTTTTACCACATTTTGTTGTGTTACAGCCTGATTTTAAAAATGGATTACATTGAGATGTTCTTGTCACTGGCATACACACAATACCCCATAATGTCAAAGTGGAATTATGTTTTTCGACATTTTTACAAATTAATTAAAAATGTTAAGCTGAAATGTCTTGAGTCAATAAGTATTCAACCCCTTTGTTATGGCAAGCCTAAATAAGTTCAGGAGTAAACATTTGCTTAACAAGTCACATAATAAGTTGCATGGACATGCTCTGTGTGCAATAATAGTGTTTTTAACATGATTTTTGAATGACTACCTCATCTCTGCACCCCACACATAACATTATCTGTAAGGCCCCTCAGTCGAGCAGTGAATTTCAATCACAGATCCAACCACAAAGACCAGGGAGGTTTTCCAATGCCTCGAAAGAAGGACATCTACTGATAGATGGGTAAAAAAAAAAATGCAAACATTGAATATCCCTTTGAGCATGGTGAAGTTATACATTACACTTTGGATGGTGAATCAATACACACAGTCACTACAAAGATACAGGCATTATACCTAACTCAGTTGTCAAAGAGGAAGGAAATCCCTTTTGATATAAAAAAGTATATACAAAAGTATTTTATGAAACATTGAATTTTTTAATGCACATAGAAATGCATTGAATAACTGATTCATACATGGAAAAAACAGATAGTCAAACAAAAATCAAAAGGAAGTTTGTTTTGAAGTGTCTATCCTAGTCAGTCACAGTGGTGCAGTAGAAGGTTAGGAGGTGGTTGACATGACTGTCATAGTTATATATATATACAGTGGGGGAAAAAAGTATTTAGTCAGCCACCAATTGTGCAAGTTCTCCCACTTAAAAAGATGAGAGAGGCCTGTAATTTTCATCATAGGTACACGTCAACTATGACAGACAAATTGAGATTTTTTTTCTCCAGAAAATCACATTGTAGGATTTTTTATGAATTTATTTGCAAATTATGGTGGAAAATAAGTATTTGGTCACCTACAAACAAGCAAGATTTCTGGCTCTCACAGACCTGTAACTTCTTCTTTAAGAGGCTCCTCTGTCCTCCACTCGTTACCTGTATTAATGGCACCTGTTTGAACTTGTTATCAGTATAAAAGACACCTGTCCACAACCTCAAACAGTCACACTCCAAACTCCACTATGGCCAAGACCAAAGAGCTGTCAAAGGACACCAGAAACAAAATTGTATACCTGCACCAGGCTGGGAAGACTGAATCTGAAATAGGTAAGCAGCTTGGTTCGAAGAAATCAACTGTGGGAGCAATTATTAGGAAATGGAAGACATACAAGACCACTGATAATCTCCCTCGATCTGGGGCTCCACGCAAGATCTCACCCCGTGGGGTCAAAATGATCACAAGAACGGTGAGCAAAAATCCCAGAACCACACAGGGGGACCTAGTGAATGACCTGCAGAGAGCTGGGACCAAAGTAACCAAAGCCTACCATCAGTAACACACTATGCCGCCAGGGACTCAAATCCTGCAGTGCCAGACGTGTCCCCCTGCTTAAGCCAGTACATCTCCAGGCCCGTCTGAAGTTTGCTAGAGTGCATTTGGATGATCCAGAAGAGGATTGGGAGAATGTCATATGGTCAGATGAAACCAAAATATAACTTTTTGGTAAAAACTCAACTCGTCGTGTTTGGAGGACAAAGAATGCTGAGTTGCATCCAAAGAACACCATACCTACTGTGAAGCATGGGGGTGGAAACATCATGCTTTGGGGCTGTTTTTCTGCAAAGGGACCAGGACGACTGATCCGTGTAAAGGAAAGAATGAATGGGGCCATGTATCGTGAGATTTTGAGTGAAAACCTCCTTCCACCAGCAAGGGCATTGAAGATGAAACGTGGCTGGGTCTTTCAGCATGACAATGATCCCAAACACACCGCCCGGGCAACAAATTAGTGGCTTCGTAAGAAGCATTTCAAGGTCCTGGAGTGGCCTAGCCAGTCTCCAGATCTCAACCCCATTGAAAATCTTTGGAGAGAGTTGAAAGTCCGTGTTGCCCAGCGACAGCCCCAAAACATCACTGCTCTAGAGGAGATCTGCATGGAGGAATGGGCCAAAATACCAGCAACAGTGTGTGAAAACCTTGTGAAGACTTACAGAAAACGTTTGACCTGTGTCATTGCCAACAAAGGGTATATAACAAAGTATTGAGAAACTTTTGTTATTGACCAAATACTTATTTTCCACCATAATTTGCAAATAAATTCATTAAAAATCCTACAATGTGATTTTCTGGAATTTCTTTCTCTCATTTTGACTGTCATAGTTGACGTGTACCTATGATGAAAATTACAGGCCTCTCTCATCTTTTTAAGTGGGAGAACTTGCACAATTGGTGGCTGACTAAATACTTTTTTCCCCCACTGTATATATATACATACATACACATACAGTGGGGAGAACAAGTATTTGATACACTGCCGATTTTGCAGGTTTTCCTATTTACAAAGCATGTAGAGGTCTGTAATTTTTATCATAGGTACACTTCAACTGTGAGAGACGGAATCTAAAACAAAAATCCAGAAAATCACATTGTATGATTTTTAAGTAATTAATTTGCATTTTATTGCATGACATAAGTATTTGATCACCTACCAACCAGTAAGAATTCCGGCTCTCACAGACCTGTTAGTTTTTCTTTAAGAAGCCCTCCTGTTCTCCACTCATTACCTGTATTAACTGCACCTGTTTGAACTCGTTACCTGTATAAAAGACACCTGTCCACACACTCAATGAAACAGACTCCAACCTCTCCACAATGGCCAAGACCAGAGAGCTGTGTAAGGACATCAGGGATAAAATTGTAGACCTGCACAAGGCTGGGATGGGCTATAGGACAATAGGCAAGCAGCTTGGTGAGAAGGCAACAACTGTTGGCGCAATTATTACAAAATGGAAGAAGTTCAAGTTGACGGTCAATCACCCTCGGTCTGGGGCTCCATGCAAGATCTCACCTCGTGGGGCATCAATGATAATGAGGAAGGTGAGGGATCAGCCCAGAATTACACAGCAGGACCTGGTCAATGACCTGAAGAGAGCTGGGACCACAGTCTCAAAGAAAACCATTAGTAACACACTACGCCGTCATGGATTAAAATCCTGCAGCGCACGCAAGGTCCCCCTGCTCAAGCCAGCGCATGTCCAGGCCCGTCTGAAGTTTGCCAATGACCATCTGGATGATCCAGAGGAGGAATGGGAGAAGGTCATGTGGTCTGATGAGACAAAAATAGAGCTTTTTGGTCTAAACTCCACTCGCCGTGTTTGGAGGAAGAAGAAGGATGAGTACAACCCCAAGAACACCATCCCAACCGTAAAGCATGGAGGTGGATACATCATTCTTTGGGGATGCTTTTCTGCAAAGGGGATAGGACGTCTGCACCGTATTGAGGGGAGGATGGATGGGGCCATGTATCGCGAGATCTTGGGCAACAACCTCCTTCCCACAGTAAGAGCATTGAAGATGGGTCGTGGCTGGGTCTTCCAGCATGACAATGACCCGAAACACACAGCCAGGGCAACTAAGGAGTGGCTCCGTAAGAAGCATTTCAAGGTCCTGGAGTGGCCTAGCCAGTCTCCAGACCTGAACCCAATAAAAAATCTTTGGAGGGAGCTGAAAGTCCGTATTGCCCAGCGACAGCCCCGAAACCTGAAGGATCTGGAGAAGGTCTGTATGGAGGAGTGGGCCAAAATCCCTGCTGCAGTGTGTGCAAACCTGGTCAAGACCTACAGGAAACGTATGATCTATGTAATTGCAAACAAAGGTTTCTGTACCAAATATTAAGTTCTGCTTTTCTGTTGTATCAAATACTTATGTCATGCAATAAAATGCAAATTAATTACTTAAAAATCATAAAATGTGATTTTCGGGATTTTTGTTTTAGATTCCGTCTCTCACAGTTGAAGTGTACCTATGATAAAAATGACAGACCTCTACATGCTTTGTAAGTAGGAAAACCTGCAAAATCGGCAGTGTATCAAATACTTGTTCTCCCCACTGTACATATCCTTAAAAAAAATATATATATCCCCTTTATTACTTTCCAAACCCATCACCCTTTCCCTAATTGGAGTAAACTAGTGAACAACAATGCTTAGGCCTCTACTTCCAGCTTATACTTACGATATACATTTTATGGACACAGTCAATTTTACAATAATTATATTTTGTTTGTTTTTTCTCCTGAACTTCTTCTACTCTCAACCTCTCCGATCATTTTCATGATGTCCATCCGGTTTGCCCTTCTTGCCTCGTCTCTCAGATCGTTCACAGCTTTGTGGAAGTTACCTTGTGGTCCTCTGTAGCTCAGCTGGTAGAGCACGGCGCTTGTAACGCCAAGGTAGTGGGTTCGATCCCCGGGACCACCCATACACAAAAAATGTATGCACGCATGACTGTAAGTCGCTTTGGATAAAAGCGTCTGCTAAATGGCATATTATTATTATTATTATTATTATATTTACCTGTGGCGCTGATGTTTAGGCCGAGGTATGTATAGTTTTTTGTATGCTCTAGGGCAATGGTGTAGATGGAATTTGTATTTGTGGACCTTTTTTGGAACACCATTATTTTTGTCTTACTGAGATTTACTGTCAGGGCCCAGGTCTGACAGAATCTGTACAGAAGATCTAGGTGTTGCTCTAGGCCCTCCTTGGTTCGGGACAGAAGCACCAGATCATCAGCAAATGGTAGACATTTGACTTCAGATTCTAGTAGGGTGAGGCCAGGTGCTGCAGACTGTTCTAGTGCCTTCGCCAATTCGTTGATATATATATGTTGAAGAGGGTGGGGCTTAAGCTACACATTAAGAAATGTGTGTGCGTTTTGCCAATTTTAACCGCACACTTGTTGTTTGTGTACAAGGATTTTATAATGTTGTATGTTTTACACCCAACACCACTTTCCATCAATTTGTATAGCAGGCCCTCATGCAAAATTGAGTTGAAAGCTTTTTTGAAATCAACAAAGCATGAGAAGACTTTGCCTTTGTTTTGGTTTGTTTGTTTGTCAATTAGGGTGTGCAGGTGAATACGTGGTCTGTCGTACGGTAATTTGGTAAAAAGCCTATTTGAAATTTGCTCAGTACATTGTTTTCGCTGAGGAAATGTATGAGTCTGCTGTTAATGATAATGCAGAGAATCTTCCCAAAGTTACTGTTGACGCATATCCCATGGTAGTTATTGGGGTCAAATTTGTCTCCACTTTTGTGGATTGGGGTGATCAGTCGGAAGTTTACATACACTTAGGTTGGAGTCATTAAAACTAGTTTTTCAACCACTCCACACATTACTTCTTAACAAACTATAGTTTTGGCAAGTCGGTTAGGACATCTACTTTGTGCATGACACAAGTCATTTTTCCAACAATTGTTTACAGACAGATTATTTCACTTATGATTCACTGTATCACAATTCCAGTGGGTCCGAAGTTTACATACACTAAGTTGACTGTGCCTTTAAACAGCTTGGAAAATTCCAGAAAATGATGTCATAGCTTTAGAAGCTTCTGATAGGCTAATTGACATAATTTGAGTCGATTGGAGGTGTACCTGTGGATGTATTTCAAGGCCTACCTTCAAACTCAGTGCCTCTTTGCTTGACATCATGGGAAAATCAACCAAGACCTCAGAAAAAAAGAGTAGACCTCCACAAGTCTGGTTCATCCTTGGGAGCAATTTCCAAATGCCTGAAGGTACCACGTTCATCTGTACAAACAATAGCACGCAAGTATAAACACCATGGGACCACGCAGCCGTCATACCGCTCAGGAAGGAGACGCGTTCTGTCTCCTAGAGATTAACGTACTTTGGTGCAAAAAGTGCAAATCAATCCCAGAACAACAGCAAAGGACCTTGTGAAGATGTTGGAGGAAACAGGTACAAAAGTATCTATATCCACAGTAAAACAAGTCTTATATTGACATAACCTGAAAGGCCGCTCAGCAAGGAAGAAGCCACTGCTCCAAAACCGCCATAAAAAAGCCAGACTACGGTTTGCAACTGCACATGGGGACAAAGATCGTACTTTTTGGAGAAATATCCTCTGGTCTGTTGAAACAAAAATAGAACTGTTTGGCCATAATGACCATCGTTATGTTTGGAGGAAAAAGGGGTATGCTTGCAAGCCGAAGAACACCATCCCAACCGTGAAGCACGGGGGTGGCAGCATCATGCTGTGGGGGTGCTTTGCTGCAGGAGGGACTGGTGCACTTCACAAAATAGATGGCATCATGAGGAAGGAAAATTATGTGGATATATTGAAGCAACATTTCAAGACATCAGTCAGGAAGTTAAAGCTTGGTCGCAAAAGGGTCTTCCAAATGGACAATAACACCAAGCATACTCCCAAAGTTGTGGCAAAATGGCTTAAGGACAACAAAGTCAAGGTATTGGAGTGGCCATCACAAAGCCCTGACCTCAATCCTATAGAAAATGTGTGGGCAGAACTGAAAAAGTGTGTGCGAGCAAGGAGGCCTACAAACCTGACTCAGTTACACCAGCTCTGTCAGGAGGAATGGGCCAAAATTCACCCAACTTATTGTGGGAAGCTTGTGGAAGGCTACCTGAAACGTTTGACCCAAGTTAAACAATTTAAAGGCAATGCTACCAAATACTAATTGAGTGTATGTAAACTTCTGACCCACTGGGAATGTGATGAAAGAAATAAAAGCTGAAAAAAATACTCTGACATTTCACATTCTTAAAATAAAGTGGTGGTGATCCTAACTGACCTAAGACAGGGACTTTTTACTAGGACTAAATGTCAGGAATTGTGAAAAACTGAGTTTAAATGTATTTGGCTATGGTGTATGTAAACTTCCGACTTCAACTGTACATACCCAGCGTCCGACAGAGCCACAGGAGTTGTGACCCAATTTTGTTGGTTATGTTGTCATAGTTGTGTCTAGGGGGGCATATGGGTAGAGGGAATGCTGTCACCTCCAGGTAGGTGTTTGTCCCCCTGTGTGCTGAGGGTGTCAGGTTCTTGTCCAGTTCTGGCATTTAGGTCGCCACAGACTAGTACATGTCCCTGGGCCTGGAAATGGTTGATCTCCCCCTCTAGGATGGAGAAGCTGTCATCGTTAAAGTATGGGGATTCTATTGGGGGGATATAGGTCATGAGGACATTTCTCTGTTGAGATAATTTCCTTATTAATTTCTAGCCAGATGTAAAATGTTCCTGTTTTGACTAATTTAATAGAGTGGGTTAGGTCTGCTCTATACCAAATTAGCAAAATCTTATTTTTATAAGAAACATTAATGTGTTAAAAATCCCAATTTGTTGTTATAGTCAATTTACACACAGCTCTGACACATACACTTTCCCCACCAGACATGCCACCAGAGGTCTTTTCACAGTCCCCAAATCCAGAACAAATTCAAGAAAGCGTACAGTATTATATAGAGCCATTATTGCATGGAACTCCGTCCCATCTCATTTTGCTCAAATAAACAGCAAACCTGGTTTAAAAAAAAACTGATAAAGCAACACCTCACGGCACAATGCCTCTCCCCTATTTGACCTACAGTGAGGGAAAAAAGTATTTGATCCCCTGCTGATTTTGTACGTTTGCCCACTGACAAAGACATGATCAGTCTATAATTTTAATGGTAGGTTTATTTGAACAGTGAGAGACAGAATAACAACAACAAAATCCAGAAAAACGCAGGTCAAACATTTTCTAAATTGATTTGCATTTTAATGAGGGAAATAAGTATTTGACCCCTCTGCAAAACATGACTTAGTACTTGGTGGCAAAACCCTTGTTGGCAATCACAGAGGTCAGACGTTTCTTGTAGTTGGCCACCAGGTTTGCACACATCTCAGGAGGGATTTTGTCCCACTCCTCTTTGCAGATTTTCTCCAAGTCATTAAGGTTTCGAGCCTGACGTTTGGCAACTCTAACCTTCAGCTCCCTCCACAGATTTTCTATGGGATTAAGGTCTGGAGACTGGTTAGGCCACTCCAGGACCTTAATGTGCTTCTTCTTGAGCCACTCCTTTGTTGCCTTGGCCGTGTGTTTTGGGTCATTCTCATGCTGGAATACCCATCCACGACCCATTTTCAATGCCCTGGCTGAGGGAAGGAGGTTCTCACTCAAGATTTGACAGTACATGGCCCCGTCCATCGTCCCTTTGATGTGGTGAAGTTGTCCTGTCACCTTAGCAGAAAAACACCCCCAAAGCATAATGTTTCCACCTCCATGTTTGACGTTGGGATTGGTGTTCTTGGGGTCATAGGCAGCATTCCTCCTCCTCCAAACACGGTGAGTTGAGTTGATGCCAAAGAGCTCCATTTTGGTCTCATCTGACCACAACACTTTCACCCAGTTCTCCTCTGAATCATTCAGATGTTCATTGGCAATCTTCAGGCGAGCATGTATGTGTGCTTTCTTGAGCAGGGGGACCTTGCGGGCGCTGCAGGATTTCAGTCCTTCACAGCGTAGTGTGTTACCAATTGTTTTCTTGGTGACTATGGTCCCAGCTGCCTTGAGATCATTGACAAGATCCTCCCGTGTAGTTCTGGGCTGATTCCTCTCCGTTCTCATGATCATTGCAACTCCACGAGGTGAGATCTTGCATGGAGCCCCAGGCCGAGGGAGATTGACAGTTCTTTTGTGTTTCTTCCATTTGCGAATAATCGCACCAACTGTTGTCACCTTCTCACCAAGCTGCTTGACGATGGTCTTGTAGCCCATTCCAGCCTTGTGTAGGTCTACAATCTTGTCCCTGACATCCTTGGAGAGCTCTTTGGTCTATAAAAAAAAGACACCTGGGAGCCAGAAATCTTTCTGATTTAGAGGGGGTCAAATACTTATTTCCCTCAAAATGCAAATAAATGTATAACATTTTTTACATGCGTTTTTCTGGATTTTGTTGTTGTTATTCTGTCTCTCACTGTTCAAATAAACCTACCATTAAAATTATAGACTGATCATTTGTTTGTCAATGGGCAAACGTACAAAATCAGCAGGGGATCAAATACTTTTTTCCCTCACTGTAGATACTAGTCATGCTGGTGGTGATGGTCCCCAGATATAATGCTCTGTTTTTCTGTACAATTATTTTTGTCTGACTGATTTAATCTTCAGAGTTTCATTAAAACTTAATAATGTATTTTTATCAAATGTAATGTTTTAGTATTCTACATTTACATTAATCATGATGTTTGCTGTTAATGTATGTTGGTTTTCATTCAGAACCATTTAAATGTTTTCTCAATTGGTTCTCTGTCTCAATGTCATTTTCCTCAGTATCATGGAACAGGTAGTGTTACTTACTTGCTAATTGAACTATATGGGCCGGTTTCCCGGACACAGATGAAACCTAGTCCTAGACTAAAAAGCATGTTCAATGGAGATGTCCGGGAAACCGACCCCAAGTTTGGCATCTTTTATTCTCCCATACTGCTCAGTCAAGCAACATTAAACCTGTCCAGTAGGTGGTACTATTAACCAAACAATAAAAAACAGCAGATATCTTGACTTGCCACTCAGTATGTCAGTAATGTTCAGAATAGTACTTTAATATCATTGGAGATTGATGGTCTTTTTAATCCACTATCCAGAGTCTGGAACAGATGAAGTTAGGTCTGCTACTGTTCAGTTATTAAATATAATTTATGGTGATGGGAAATAAAAAATACATCTAGTAGTAGTTTTCCTTTGCTATTTATTCCAAGGTGTGTCTTTAACTTGTAAATGGATTGTGTTGAAGCTGGCATGTGGTGTGGATGATAGAATAGAGTGAATAGAGGAGAGAAGAGAGGAGGAGAGGAGAACATAATATAGAAGACAGATAAGATAGAGAGAATTCATACCCAGGGGAGTTACTGACTCTGTCCCAAATGACACCCTGTTCCCTACGTAGTGCACTAGGCTACTTCTGACCAGATCAAAAGTAGTGCACTACATAGGGAATACGGTTGCCTATATATCATACTGTAATGTTAGTGGTTGCCGCATTAGAATATCATACTGTAATGTTAATGGTTGACTCCCCCCTTTTTCTTCTGTTGTGTGTCCTCCCATAAGTCATTGAAGCGTTCAATGAGATAGGCCCCTGCCTTCACAGGGGGATATGTTGGACCGGTCACAACAGGTGATGAGGGCTTCATCGTCCAGCCAGGGACTGCTGTGTGCTCGAGTCTCCAGCGGGGGAGAATATCATACTGTAATGTTAGTGGTTGCCTCATTAGAATATCATACGGTGTTGTTGGGCTTTACTATGGTTCTACATACAGTAGCTGTACCTGGAGGGTTTCTGCTCACATATTCCTTTATCTCCACAACTTTATCTGATTCTCTGTCTCCCACTTCCCTTCATATATTTAAAAGGAAATTACTGGTATATGTAAACACCCTCTATCCCATGTCAACACCAATCCAATGCTTTTACATTTGTGGGGAGTAGTGAACGAGTGCTACACTTCAGGAGGAAGGAGAGATTATTGGGACACACCCATGGAGTGAAGATAGAGGGATGTCAAAGAGGAGAGAGGTAATGGTTGTACTTGACTTATTTATTCTCTCATTACTGACATACTTTTTCCCTAACATAAAATAATTAATGCTAGATAGATAATGCTCACTTCCTCCCATAAGAATCATTGAAGCGTTCAATGAGATATGCCCCTGCCTTCACAGGGGGATATTTGTTGGACCCGTCACAACAGGTGATGAGGGCTTCATCGTCCGGCTGCACAAAGAAAGCCAGGGACTGCCGTGTGCTCGAGTCTCCAGCAGGGGGCAGCAAAACCCTATGGACCTGAAAGGGAAAGTGCCATGCAAAAATCAAAGGTGAATTTACCTTTGTGTCCACAGAGACCCGAGTCATATTCACTAGGCACCAAACTGAAGAAAATGAACTGAATTTAAGAAAATCAATGTTTGTTTTCATTTTCTGTTGCAGAATGTTTTGCTATAGTGTGCCCTAACGAATATTATTTTAAATCTTACAAATACTTTGAGCATTTCCTTTAGTCTTCCAGGTGGGTGGGGTTTGTTTGCACTTTTAGGACTTTTCTATTGGTTCCATTACAACAGGCAAATTCAATCAAGCACTGCTTTTAAGTATTCCAAATTATTTTAAATAGTATTTGAACGCAGTTCTGTTTCCACATGCAATAAACCTGTAACATCTTGTATGATCTTATCAGGTAACAGTGTGTCAAATGGAAGGGCAAGTCTCACCGCTGAGAGGAAAACATCACTGGTCCACCTCTGCATCAGGTCAGCTATGTTGATCAGTACTGTCCCAGGGATGCTGGGAGCAGAGATGAACTCCCCTGACCTGGTACGCACCTATGGAGTTGTCATTAATTATAACACACATTAGCCGTGTTAATAGAATGAAATGGATCCAGGTTCCATTTATTCTACAATATATTTCACCCAGGTCACTTGGTAAGTTTGTTAATCTCCAAAGTGTTCTGAAATTGAGGTGACTGCAGGTCTCATTCCCAAACGAATGGGGGAAATGGCAACATCTAATAAGATGGCATTTAGAGGTATGGATAACTTTATTTTTGACAAACTTTGCTATTGGGGTGAACAAATACCATTAAACATACATACAGTGCATTCGGAAAGTATTCAGACTCCTTCCCTTTTTACACATTTTGTTACGTTATAGCCTTATTCTAAAATGGATTAAATAAAACATTTTCCTCATCAATCTACACACAATACCCCATAATGGCAAAGCGAAAACAGGTTTAGACATTTTTAGCAAATGTATTGCAAATAAAAATCTGAAATACCTTATTTTCAGACCCTTTGCTATGAGACTTGAAATTGAGCTCAGGTGCATCCGGTTTCCATTGATCATCCTTCAGATGTTTTCTACAACTTGATTGGAGTCCACCTGTGGTAAATTCAAGGTCCCATAGTTGACAGTGCATGTCAGAGCAAAAACCAAGCCATGAGGTCGAAGGAATTGTCCGTAGAGCTCTGAGACAGGATTGTGTCGAGGCACAGATCTGGGGAAGGGTAACAAAACATTTTCGCAGCATTGAAGGTCCCCAAGTGGCCTCCATCATTCTTAAATGGAAGAAGTTTGGAACCACCGAGACTCTTCCTAGAGCTGACCAGCCCAGCCAAACTGAGCAATCGGGGGAGAAGGGCCTTGGTCAGGGATGTGAGTTGGGAAAATCTTGTGCAATACACCGATGCATGTCTTGTATTCAAGATCCTAAATGGCTTGGCTCCCCCTCCACTCAGTATTTTTGTTAAACAGAAAACCCAAACATATGGCAGCAGATCCACAAGGTCTGCCATGAGAGGTGACTGTGTAGTTCCCCTAAGGAAGAGCACCTTTAGTAAATCTGCTTTTTCTGTGAGAGCTTCCCATGTCTGGAATACACTGCCATCAGACACACACAACTGCACCACATATCACACTTTCACAAAATGCTTGAAGACATGGCTAAAGGTCAATCAGATTTGTGAACATGGTCCCTAGCTGTGTGTTGCCGCTTTCCATGTCTGTTGTCTGTAACTTGTGAGGTGTGGAAACACTTTGTTGCTTTTATGAATTTTGTCTTGCTGCTTTTTGTTCTATGTTGCTCTGTCTGTATGCTACGTCTTGCTTGTCCTATGTTGCTATGTTTGTATGCTATGTCTTGTTCTATGTTGTTATTGTCTATATTGTAATTGTTTTTAATAACCTGCCCAGGGACTGCGGTTGAAAATTAGCCGGCTGGCTAAAACCGGCACTTTTACTGAAACGTTGATTAATGTGCACTGTCCCTGTAAAAATAAACTCAAACTCAACTCAACTCAACTCAATCCCATGGTCACTCTGACAGAGCTCCAGAGTTCCTCTGTGGAGATTGGAGAACCTTCCAGAAGGACAACCATCTCTGCAGCATTCCACCAATCAGGTCTTTATGGTAGAGTGGCCAGATGGAAGCCACTCCTCAGTAAAAAGGCACATGACAGCCCGCTTGGAGTTTGCCAAAAGGACCCTAAAGGACTATCAGACCATGAGAAACAAGATTCTCTGGTCTGATGAACCAAAGATTGAACTCTTTGGCCTGAATGCCAAGCCTCACGTCTGGAGGAAACCTGGCACCATCCCTACGGTGAAGCATGGTGGTGGCAGCATCATGCTGTAGGGATGTTTTTCAGTGGCAGGGACTGGGAGACTAGTCAGGATCGAGGGAAAGGTGAACGGAGCAAAGTACAGAGAGATCCTTGATGAAAACCTGCTCCGGACCTCAGACTGGGGTGAAGGTTCACCTTCAAACAGGGCAATGATCCTAAGCACACAGCCAAGACAACGCAGGAGTGGCTTCGGTACCAGTCTCTGAATGTCCTTGAGAGGCCCAGCCAGAGCCCGGACTTGAACCCGATCGAACATCTCTGGAGAGACCTGAAAATAGCTGTGCAGCGATGCTCCCTATCCAACCTGACAGAGTTTGAGAGGATCTGCAGAGAAGAATGGGAGAAGCTCCCCAAATACAGGTGTGCCAAGCTTGTAGCGTCATACCCAGGAAGACTCGAGGCTGTAATCGCTGCCAAAGATGCTTCAACAAAGTCTGAATACTTATGTAAATGTGATATTTCAGTTTCTATTTTTAATACATTTGCAAATATTTCTAAAAACCTGTTTTTGCTTTGTCATTATGGGGTATTGTGTGTAGATTCATGAGGGGAAAAAAACAATTTAATCAATTTTAGAATAGGGCTGTAACGTAACAAAATTGAAAAAGCCATGGGGTCTGAATACTTTCCCAATGCACTGTAGTCCAGTAAAAAAACAAAGTTTTTCCTGCCAGGTGATGTAGCCAGGAAAAACTCCTGCCCCTAATAGACACTGCAGAGGATTCAGTGGTGTCTTGTTTACCTGCAGGCCACCCTCTTGGTTCTGGAAGACCAGAGGATTCAGTGGTGTCTTGTTTACCTGCAGCCCACCCTCTTGGCTCTAGAAGACCAGAGGATTCAGTGGTGTCTTGTTTACCTGCAGGCCACCCTCTTGGTTCTAGAAGAACAGAGGATTGAGTGGTGTCTTGTTTACCTGCAGGCCACCCTCTTGGTTCTGGAAGACCAGAGGATTCAGTGGGGTCTTGTTTACCTGCAGGCCACCCTCTTGGTTCTACAAGAACAGAGGATTCAGTGGGGTCTTGTTTACCTGCAGGCCACCCTCTTGGCTCTGGAAGACCAGGGTGATGCTGCCGTAGTCAGAGTGTTCTCCACAGCGCAGCTGACCCTCCTTTACCCTGTCACTCCTCACCGGGGGGTAATACAGAGACCTCAGGGTACTGCCGTTCTCATCACCTGCAGGAGACAACAATCAAGCCTGATTCACACAACAGGGCCGACCCAACTGTATTTTCCTTTCACATTGTCCTTTCAAAGATGGTTCCAGCACTATTGCAAACTTTTTTGCTCAAAGTTTGGTAACAGAATGATGGCACAGAGCACAAACTCATTCTGTTAGACTTACATTTTAAAGTGAAAATCTGAGTCTGTGTCACTCTTTGACAGTGGAATTGCCCAGTTGAAAAATAAAGTTAAGGATGGCAGCTTATCCCCTTTAACGATATTAATTTCTAAAGCGTTTTGGAGCAAGCTTCTTTGTCAAAGCACTATTGCAACACAGTGTCAGAATGTTAAAATACACATCGACGTTGAAAGGGAACCATGATTAATGTGTATTTGTAACATTCTGACACTGTGTTGCAATAGTGCTTTGACAAAGAAGCTTGCTCCAAAACGCTTTAGAAATTAATATCGTTAAAGGGGATAAGCTGCCATCCTTAACTTTATTTTTCAACTGGGCAATTCCACTGTCAAAGAGTGACACAGACTCAGATTTTCACTTTAAAATGTAAGTCTAACAGAATGAGTTTGTGCTCTGTGCCATCATTCTGTTACCAAACTTTGCATCTGCACTGTTCAAGTAAATGTGTTTTTGTTACATTTTGTGTGTACATTGTTAAAAGTAGTCCTTGTACATAGAGTTGTAAGGTTTGTTTAATTTTGCAATCATTGGTTTTTGTTTGACATGCAGTACTAGTCAAAAGTTTGGACACACCAACTCATTCAAGGGATTTTCTTTATTTTTACTATTTTCTACATTGTAGAATAATAGTGAAGACAGCAAAACTATGAAATAGCACATATGGAAGTAACCAAAAAAAGTGTTAAACAAATCAAAATATCCACCCGTTGCCTTGATGACAGCTTTGCACACTCTTGGCTATTTGAAGAATCGCAAATATAAAATATTTCTTGATTTGTTTAACACTTTTGTTGGTTACTACATCATTCCATATGTATTATTTCATAGTTTTGATGTCTTCACTATTATTCTACAATGTAAAAATAAAGAAAAACCCTTGAATGAGTAGGTGTGTCCAAACTTTTGACTGGTAGCATACATTTTAAAGTAAAGAATCTGAGTCACAGTGTCACTCTGTTACCATGGAATTGCCCAACTTCAGTTTTACATTCCTAGGACTGAGCACCCCTTCACCCAGGTGTGATTGTACATAGATAACCCCCTGAGAGAGAGAGCTGTACTCACTCCCTATGTGTCTGTGTACACTCAGGAAGACCTCAGCCTCCAGGCCCAGACTGTAGGCCATCACATGGAGCACCCGGAGACTCAGGTCCTTACAGCGCAGGAAGAACGACGACTGGATCTCACAGAATCCACTCACTCCTTCCCATGATGGCCATTTCTATAGACCAGGAAGAGTTATGTAAGGACAGTGAAATCAGAGCTATAGAAGTGCTCAAAAAAATAAAGGGAACACTTAAACAACACAATGTAACTCCAAGTCCAATCACACTTCTGTGAAATCAAACTGACCACTTAGGAAGCAACACTGATTGACAATACATTTCACATACTGTTGTGCAAATGGAATAGACAACAGGTGGAAATTATAGGCAATTAGCAAGACACCCCCAATAAAGGACTGGTTTTGCAGGTGGTGACCACAGACCACTTCTCAGTTCCTATGCTTCCTGGCTGATGTTTTGGTCACTTTTGAATGCTGGCGGTGCCTTCACTCTAGTGGTAGCATGAGACGGAGTCTACAACCCACACAAGTGGCTCAGGTAGTGCAGCTCATCCAGGATGGCACATCAATGCGAGCTGTGGCAAGAAGGTTTTCTGTATCTGTCAGCGTAGTGTCCAGAGCATGGAGGCGCTACCAGGAGACAGGCCAGTACATCAGGAGACGTGGAGGAGGCCGTAGGAGGGCAACAACCCAGCAGCAGGACTGCTACCGCCACCTTTGTGCAAGGAGGAGCAGGAGGAGCACTGCCAGAGCCCTGCAAAATGACCTCCAGCAGGCCACAAATGTGCATGTGTCTGCTCAAACGGTCAGAAACAGACTCCATGAGGGTGGTATGAGGGCCCAACGTCCACAGGTGGGGGTTGTGCTTACAGCCCAACACCGTGCAGGACGTTTGGCATTTGCCAGAGAACACCAAGATTGGCAAATTCGCCACTGGCGCCCTGTGCACTTCAAAGATGAAAGCAGGTTCACACTGAGCACATGACAGACGTGACAGAGTCCGGAGACGCCGTGGAGAACGTTCTGCTGCCTGCACATCCTCCAACATGACCGGTTTAGCGGTGGGTCAGTCATGGTGTGGGGTGGCATTTCTTTGGGGGGCCGCACAGCCCTCCATGTGCTCGCCAGAGGTAGCCTGACTGCCATTAGGTACCGAGATGAGATCCTCAGACCCCTTGTGAGACCATATGCTGGTGCGGTTGGCCCTGGGTTCCTCCTAATGCAAGACAATGCTAGACCTCATGTGGCTGGAGTGTGTCAGCAGTTCCTGCAAGAGGAAGGCATTGATGCTATGGCCCGCCCGTTCCCCAGACCTGAATCCAATTGAGCACATCTGGGACATCATGTCTCGCTCCATCCACCAACGCCACGTTGCACCACAGACTGTCCAGGAGTTGGCGGATGCTTTAGTCCAGGTCTGGGAGGAGATCCCTCAGGAGACCATCCACCACCTCATCAGGAGCATGCCCAGGCGTTGTAGGGAGGTCATACAGGCACGTGGAGGCCACACACACTACTGAGCCTCATTTTGACTTGTTTTAAGGACATTACATCAAAGTTGGATCAGCCTGTAGTGTGGTTTTCCACTTTAATTTTGAGGGTGACTCCAAATCCAGACCTCCATGGGTTGATACATTTGATTTCCATTGATAATTTGTGTGATTTTGTTGTCAGCACATTAAACTATGTAAAGAAAAAAGTATTTAATAAGATTATTTCATTCATTCAGATCTAGGATGTGTTATTTTAGTGTTCCCTTTATTTTTTTGAGCAGTGTACAATATAGGATATAAAATATGACATGTTTTGACAACTGTCAATGTATTCCTATGGGTGGCCTGGTGAGGTCTGTTCCAAGATGGAGTTTTATCAGAGTGGTTGAACTCTGTATAATAATAAAAATAATATGCCATTTAGCAGACGCTTTTATCCAAAGCGACTTACAGTCATGCGTGCATACATTTTTTTTTTGTGTATGGGTGGTCCCGGGGATCGAACCCACTACCTTAGCGTTACAAGCGCCGTGCTCTACCAGCTGAGCTACAGAGTGAGGTCAATCACTTTGTACCTTGACCTTAACACTGATAGCAACAACAACCACCTCAGAGAAGTTGGCTGTGTCTACAGCTGTCGCAATAGAGACAGAGACAGAGACAGAGACAGAGACAGAGACAGACAGACAGGTTGTTTACTATGACTGGATGAAGGGATGCAGTGTTGAAGGCTTCCTTTAGGTCTCCTGGTCTCTTGGGATTTAAACTGTGAATACAGATAGTCCTAACCATTCAATCAATGTACTAAACAAACAGTCATCATTAACACTATACTGAGTGGAGCCTATGGATATATAATATAATACAATACAATAGAATGACTAGAATAGACTAGAATAAGGGTTTTGACATGAAAGCACAGCCAGATGTTTTGACTTGACAGTGTGTCTCTATACCTCTCAGTCTCTGAAGACACCCAGCCATGGTTAGGATTATTTGCGAAGCTTTTCCTGCTGAAAGGCAGTTTCATTTCGTCTGGTTGCAGAAAGAATTTCTTGGATATGTTCATAACACCGTCCACCTATAAAGCATAGCCAAATGTTGGTCACCCAAAGCACATAACGCACTCGCACTGACATGCCCAATATATCTAACATCTTTAAAAAAAAAAAAACTCAGCTCACCTCTTGTTGCACTATCCCAGTATTCTTCAAATAAACAAATCCCACTTCAGTAAAAGCCGTTTTCAACTGCCTGCTCAGGATCTCTAACTGCTCGCCAGAAACATCGTTTTCCCCTAATTTGTATGCTCCGAAATCAACTACTGGTATCTTCATGTTGGAAATTGGGACAATGATCTGGCTAAACAATGAACCAGTGAGTAGGATATGATTGCACCCAGACAGTGGGGTCGCCGGGAGTGTATTCCTTATGCCAATTCTGTTGAAAAACGTTTTTAAACGAAAACAAATGGAACGAAACGGGGAAGGATCTACCTTGATTTTGTCCAATAGAAACTCTCGTAAAAAAAAAAAAAAACGGTTTGCAACTGTTTAGACTAATGATTACACACTAGTTGAGTGAGCGAACTTTGACGTAATCCCTTTTCCTCAGTGTGCGTGAACCATGTGACAACTGTGAGCCAATAGGAAAGCGACCTTCAATTACTGTAGGTTGTGCAATCCTATTATTTCACCTTTGGATGTTAATTGTCTTATATAAAGTTAGCTAAGGGCTCATGTTTGTTTGACTCACGAAGGATAAATACGGTCTTTGTTACGTTTATTAGCCCGCAAATACTGAATTATTCACTTTTTACAAAGTTGGTAAATTTGAGTGACAGATTTTGTCATTGAATGACATCTAACATAAACAGTTTTACAGTGTTGTTGACCATTAAAGTCGGTGTGGTTTACTCAAAATAAAGATGCTCGACTTGAAAGGAGGATGGAATATTTATTTTGCAGGTTGTGGGTTCATTGGCATTTACTACGTAGGAGCCTCTAGCTGTATCCTTGAGCAAGTCCCCCACCTCATGGCGAATCCAAAGTATTTGGAGCCTCGACAGGTGCATTGATGGCAGTGGTGCTCACCATTGGAATGCCCATAGGTATGTTGAATACTGTACATTGGTAGTTGGCCGAAACTGTTGAAACGAACAGACTAAATATGACATACATGAAATAATGACTTCTTAATTATTATACAGTCAATATTTAATGTATTTAGTACATAATGATTAGGCATATAGGCCTACTATACCTTGTGCATGAACAGGTAGAATGTGATGTCGGATTGTTATTAATGTAATAACAATCTCTAGGGTTCTCATTTATCAACCGTGCATAAATGTCTTACAGAATTATGGCATATGTGGAGATTCTAGTATTTGCGTTTGAAACAAATTATTGGGATTTATCAAACAGGCGCAAATTGATCATTCAGAGCCATACCATATTTGTGAGCTCGTGAACGAGCACTACAACCCCGCCTTGACTGCACTGTGCTGAACTACTCTACTTTTCTTTACTGAACTATACTTTACTGTACTCTGTAGTGTAAAGTACCTTAGTAAAAATAATTTTAAGCACTACTTTTTTGTGTTCTTTTTACTTTACTATTTATATTTTTGACAACTTTTACTTCACTACATTCCTAAAGAAAATAATGTACTTTTTACTCCATACATTTTCCCTGACACCCACAAGTATTTGTTACATTTTGAATGCTTAGAAGGACAGGAAAATGGTCCAATTCACACACTTATCAAGAGGACATCCCTGGTCATCCCTACTGACTCTGATCTGGCATTGATTTATACTTTTACTTTTGATACTTAAGTATATTTAAGCGATTACATTTTCTTTTGATACTTAAGTATATTTAAAACCAAATACTTTTAGACTTTTACTCAAGTCATATTTTACTGGGTAGCTTTCACTTTTACTTGCGTCAATTTCCATTAAGGAGAGGAGCATTCAGCATTGTGGGGAAAACAATTTGAGGTACATACTGTTCTATCACGCGTGCAATGATACATGAGGGGGAAGTAACTTTGTTGTAATATCGCAATCGGAGGTGGCATTTTCACCAAGTACGGATTCCAGCTTTAAACTCTTAGGGCTGGTTTCCCAGACACAGATTAGTAAACTTAATCTTGGACAAAAAAACCACTTTAAATGGGAAATCTCTATTGAACATGCTTTTATTCCAGAACTAGTCTTAATCTGTGTCTGAGAAACCAGCTCTTGGTGATTTCTGTTCAACAGATAATGTCTGAGATATGCAACAATGGATACATGGATGCACTTTGATTCCTGCAAGAAAACAGTGAGCTCTTTTTTTACTTGCTATTACTTTGTCTAACGTAATGAACATGTATTTCACATCAACGTTTGTTTATTCAAATTATGTATAATTGAAAATGTCTCCATTCATTGGTGTGATGATATTTCAGATCTCTTCCGATCTGAGAGCACCTCTGCCGGTGTGATGGTGACTGAAACAGCCTCTTACTGTGAGATGGTGAATGAGTCAACAGAAGCCACTGCTGAAGAGATTTGGTCCACTAAGACCCTGCTACTTCGGAGGCTCAACCCCCCGCGCAAACACCACTGGTGGCTGGATGTACACAGCATTGAAAACCTACCAGTACCTATTCAAAAAGGTCAGATGTGATACACTCACAGAACAATCACTATTTTTGTATGCGTTTGCTCATATCAATGTTTTCCGAATGAAAGTCAAGTCTGTCTCTGTTGACCTCTGTATATAGAAATGTAGTATAGTACTGGATACTGAACCTTTAAATGTAGTATAGTACTGGATACTGAACCTTTAAATGTAGTATAGTACTGGATACTGAACCTTTAAATGTAGTATAGTACTGGATACTGAACCTTTAAATGTAGTATAAGTACTGGATACTGAACCTTTAAATGTAATATAGTACTGGATACTGAACCTTTAAATTTAGTATAATACTGGATACTGAACCTTAAGTCTGGTTTGATGTCCTATGTTAGCAGGTTGTCTGTTATCTGTTTGGTGTTTAGTGTGTGCGTGTGAGTGTTTAGTGTGTGCGTGTGCGTGTGGTAATGTTGTGTGAGGCATGCAGGAAGAGACATGCAGGCAGTCTGTTTTCCCAGGTGACTGAGCTGCTTCCAGTGCGTGTGTCCTCCTACATGCTGATGCCCTGCGCTCTCCCAGTGGAGTCAGCCTACTCCATGGCTCAGAGGTAACTGTGACCACTATTGGGTGGGGTGTGTGTTCCGTTCTCTTGAGTGTATTATAGTTAATACATTATAATACGGAAGTCGTCATAATTACTGTGTAAGTCTATGAAAGGGGGTGAGAACCATGAGCCTCCTAAGTTTTGTATTGAAGTCAGTGTACCCAGAGGACGACGGAAAATAGCTGTCCTCCGGCTACAGCATGGTGCTACCCCAGAGATTGCTGTTGAGGCTACTATAGACCTTCATTGCAAAATGTGTTTTAATGAGTTATTTGGTGGCGTGAATATATTTATTATAGTTTAATCTAAAAAGGATCACTTTTGTTATGTTTCACTATTTGTATTTTTATGAAATTCACTGAGGAGGATGGTCCTCCCCTTCCTCCTCTGAGGAGCCTCCACTGATTAGCTCAACCTAAACAAAAGAGAGCACCGTTTAATCTACAGTTTGTTAATTGGAAACACTTTTGAACTGGGTCATCACTCTCCCATGTTGGTGGGATAACATCTTCTTCTTCTCTTGTCTGTCTTCTCCTCAGGCCGTGGAACACATGCAGATAATACATCTGGGAAAAGCAAATTCCGCCGTTGCGGTCAAAGGTCATTACAAGTTACCTTCAGTTATAACATCCTCTTTTATAGACTAGTATTACCATAGATAATAATAACTGTTTGTCGAATTCGCACTTCCTCAAGTAGTCATGCATTGATGTCAATGGGAGACTAAGTGAACATTAGACTGAAGAGAAAGTTAGGATTTGTCCCCATCTGTTTCAAACACTGTGGTGATGTGTTAACTTGTCTTTAGATGGAGGAGCTACAGTAGCAGTGCCCCCTGGAGGTCAAGCATTGCCAGTACTACCAGGAGACAGCCAACCTCTACCCCCTGGTCACCAGCAAGACTTACCTGCACACTCTTAGCAGGCCCGGCAGCTTTTTCTGTGTTTGTGTGTTTGCGTGTGCATATGTGTGTTTATATATATATACACTACCGGTCAAAAGTTTTAGAACACCTACTCATTCAAGGGTTTTTCTTTATTTTTACTATTTTCTACATTGTAGAATAATAGTGTAGACATCAACATTATGAAATAACACATATGGAATCATATAGTAACCAAAAAAAGTGTTAAACAAATCAAAATATATTTTATATTTGAGATTCTTCAAATAGACACCCTTTGCCTTAATGACAGCTTTGCACACTCTTGGCATTCTCTCAACCAGCTTCACCTGGAATGCTTTTCCAACAGTCTTGAAGGAGTTCCCATGTATGCTGAGCACTTGTTGGATGCTTTTCCTTCACTCTGCGGTCTGACTCATCCCAAACCATCTCAGTTTTGTTGAGGACGGGGGATTGTGAAGGCCAGGTCATCTGATGCAGCACTCCATCGCTCTCCTTCTTGGTAAAATAGCCCTTACACAGCCTGAAGGTGTGTTGGGTCATTGTCCTGTTGAAAAACAAATGATAGTCCCATTAAGCCCAAACCAGATGGGATGGCGTATCGCTGCAGAATGCTGTGGTAGCCATATCGGTTAAGTGTGCCTTGAATTCTAAATAAATCACAGACTGTGTCACCAGCACAGCACCCCCACACCATAACACCTTCTCCTCCATGCTTTACGGTGGGAAATACACATGCAGAGATCATCCGTTCACCCACACCGCGTCTCACAAAGACACGGCGGTTGGAACCAGACCAAAGGACACATTTCCACCGGTCTAATGTCCATTGCTCGTGTTTCTTGGCCCAAGCAAGTCTCTTCTTCTTATTGGTGTCCTTTTATTAGTGGTTTCTTTGCAGCAATTCGACCATGAAGGCCTAATTCACACAGTCTCCTCTGATGTTGAGATGTGTCTGTTACTTGAACTCTGTGAAGCATTTATTTGGGCTGCAATTTTTGAGGCTGGTAAATGTAATGAACTTGTCCTCTGCAGCAGAGGTAACTCTGGATCTTCCATTCCTGTGGTGGTCCTCATGAGAGCCAGTTTCATCATAGCGCTTGATGGTTTTTGCGACTCCACTTGAAGAAACTTTCAAAGTTCTTGAAATGTTCCGTATTGACTGACCTTCATGTCTTAAAGTAATGATGGACTGTTGTTTCTCTTTGCTAATTTGAGCTGTTTTTGCCATAATATGGGCTTGGTCTTTTTCCAAATAGGGATATCTTCTGTATACCCCACCCCTACCTTGTAACAACACAACTGATTGGCTCAAATGCATTAAGAAGGAAATAAATTACACACATTTACTTTTAAGAATGCACACCTGTTAATTGAAATGCATTCCAGGTGACTACCTCATGAAGCTGGTTGAGAGAATGCCAAGAGTGTGCAAAGCTGTCAAGGCAAATGGGTGGCTATTTTA